AGAGAGAGAGAGAGAGAGAGAGAGAGAGAGAGAGAGAGAGAGAGAGAGAGAGAGAGAGAGAGAGAGAGAGAGAGAGAGAGAGCATCACCTCCAATTAGAGCATAACCACAAAGCACATGTAAAGGTCAGTGATAGTCATCGTCTCCTATCCCTGCTGTGGCTGATAATTAGTAACGATAGCACAAAAAATGATGAGAGAAGTGGAAACAATTCAAAAACCACAATTCCCTTTCAAAAATGGGTCAAAGTCCAGAGAATCTTGACCATTTTGCCTCACTCCCAACCTCACCCAGTGGTGGTTATATTCTCCTATCCCTGTTGCAAATGATCATGACAGAAGGAAACATGATGACAGTGTGGGAAACAACTCCTAAAACATGATGACAGTGTGGGAAACAACTCCAAAAACCACAATTCCCTTTCAATAAGGGTCCAAGTCTCGGAAAAAAAAAAAGGGTCCGAGTCTCGAGAATCCTGAGAAATTTGCCACATTCCCGGCTTCACTGGTGCATAGTGAACCATTACTTCATGAAACTCACCATTAAGCTTCTTCAATCTCACCATTGGGTCATCGTCCCCATAGAAGAATATCAAGGAGTTGGTCGGGTGATAGAAGGCTTTATGGAATTCCTACAGAAACATAACCAAGCCCCACATAAGCAGATATCATCAGTTTCCCGCACGTTCCAAGAAAATTGCTTATCATCTACATACTAAAGTGAGAGGACAGTCCTTCAGGACATTCGTTAAAATTGGAAAGATGCAGAGAAGATTAGCATGGCAAATTCGTGCGCAAGGGGCATCAAGTGTTGCCTGGACACATGCCAGGACAGGCATTACCCCTCAGGTGGGGTTCCGAGCAGCCCCAGTGCAAAAAAAAAAAGGAAAAAAGAAAAGACAAATTATGAAAACAAAAAGAGTTACGTAGATTGCATCATTGCAATGCAATCAACCTTTTGATAGAGGGTCACTTCCAAATTCTGCAAGGAATAGCGAAATGACAAAATTCCAATTTGCAACATCAAATTGAAAGCTAGATAGTCTTGAGCTGTCCAGAAAGCAGAAATGCATCGAAAGCACACCAGTGGGGAACCAAAGCAACGAACTCAATTGCCAATGAAAGCCATCTCTCGCCACCATCAACAATGTATCCGAAGCCATTTCTCCTACTGGCGCTCAGCACCCAGACAACGATCGTACACCTCCTATACGAGCCTATCCTAATGATGAAGCAACCAGATGACATCAGCCGCAGCAACCAAAGTACGTGCAGATGTTGCCTATGCAGACCTCCGCGATGACCAGGTACGTGCCCTCACATCATCTCCTCACTCGCCCTCTCAATGCTCACCCTCGTCTTCTCCACCCGCGTGCATCCTCCACCGAAGACAACTACCACCATGCCCCACTGGCCACTTCTTTCCCGAGCCCGGCTATGGCTGAGTATTCGCACTGCCTCAAGCAGCACTCTCTCTTCCAGTGCCCGTGTGCGCTTTCCAACACTAGTGCCCGGCGACCTCGCAACGCAGCAGCGCTGCTGCTCGAATGCCAAGTGCCCGAATGAGCCCCAAAGGCATTTTCCTATATGGAAAGCTGCCTGGCTCGACATCGGCCAGGACTGGAAAGCCCGTGTGCCCAGTAGTTTCACATTGCGCCAAAGTGTCTGCACCCAGGCCCGATTCAGACCGTGGCCTGGGACCGCAACAGTTAGGGGCTCCCACCTACCAGACGTGGCATGACGTGCTTGCTGCATTATGATAGGCTGATAGGCCTGCTTCTATGTCAAGGCAAGAAGAGCCTAGAAAGGCTCACGGAAGATTCAGATGCTCGCGGGTTGGGTGCATGTAAACAACTGGTGGGAGGTAACTGTCTGGCGCCCTCCAGGGCCTGGAAATTGGCAAAAGCCAGGCCTCGTTGAAAATAGCAGGCCCACCTTCACTTAGAGCAGGCATAGGGCAAGTAGCGGGCCCCCTTGTGGGCTACCAAGGTAAAAAATCCTTGCACTCCCTCCTCGTTTATTTCGATACTCCTCTGAGAAGTCCATCAGCAAGCTGCTTTTTCTTTCAATCTTCTTTCATACCCAGAGATGACCTGCAGAGCAGTCTTCATCAACTCTTCTCTTGTGAACCAGCGATCCTCCCTTGCATCTATATGATGTTTGAGGCTCACTCGGTACTGCATCTGTGGTTTAGGAGGTTGACCCTTGCCTGGAGGCTCGGGACAGACATGACCTTGTGCTTGATGATATCATCAGTGTCAACGTGCCCATCCATGGTTGGGGGCAGCGTGGATCTCCTTGTAGGAAATTTGTCTGTCTCAGCAAAAGGAACAAGTTTGGAGGCGTGGAAAACAGAGTGTCTGCGTCGGTGACCAGGGATTCGGATGACATACGACGGCCCGTCCGGTTCGTCGCCAAGTATGTCCAGAACTTGCCAAGGTCCAAAGTACTGTGGCATAAGCTTTCTAGATATACCCAGTTCCTGTCCAAGTTCAGATGACTTGACCCACACTCTTACACCTACCTGAAATGTAGATGGCCGTCTGTGCCTATTCACAGATGCTACCATGGCATCTTGAGCTTTTCTAATCTGTTCCACAGCCTGTTGCAGCATTTTGTCGTACTTGACAGCGAATTTCTGCTGTTGGCTGGTTCTCAGGCAGCAGAAAATCAAGAGCTGATCTGGGCTTCCAACCAAGATGCAGCTGCTTGGGAGTCATGCAGGTAGAGCTGTGGGCAGCATTGTTGTACAGGCTGGCGATGATAGGTAACTTCTCATCCCAGTCATCCTGCGTCGGCTTGATGTAATGCCAGAGCAAGTGCTGCACTACACGGTTCATCTGCTCAGCTTGGCCATTGGACTCAGGGTGATTCCCTAATGTCATTTGCAGTTGGGTCCCCATCTGCGTGGCCGTGCTCTGCCACAGCTCACTTGTGAATCTGACGTCCCTATCACTAACGATGGCCTTAGGAAGACCGAAGTCACTCATGCAATTATCCATGAACAGCTTGATTACATTGTCAGTTTTGGCGATCTTTGGCATAGCGATCAGTCTAGCGTACTTACGTAATCTGTCCACAATGACAAAGATGTGCCTTTTTTGATAAGAGGCAAATACTCGTCAAGTTCAACTTGCATCCAACAACAAACATCCACATGAGAGTTCTCACATGAGAAGCCAAGCCGAGATACAATCCACACTCGAAAATGTCATCACCAATATTATTACCAATATACAAGAATGTTTGTCACCCGCGGCTCAACCGCACACACACACACAGCGGATCTCAACCAAGTAGCGGCTATGGGTCTCTCTCTCTCTCTCTTTCTCTCTCTCTCTCTCTCTCTCTCTCTCTCTCTCTCTCTCTCTCTCTCTCTCTCTCTNTCTCTCTCTCTCTCTCTCTCTCTCTCTCTCTCTCTCTCTCTCTCTCTCTCTCTCTCTCTCTCTCTCTCTCTCTCTCTCTCTCTCTCTCTCTATTCCCTGGATCGTTACGCTCGATACACCCACTCAGGTATCTACACCTTGGCGGCTATGGCTGCCGTCTTCCTGCTCTACTTCTAACCTAGCTATGGACTATCTCTCAGGCGCCCACTTCTTCCTCAGGCGCACCGTGCCCAAGTTGTCGTAACGCTCAAGCAGCAGCAGCGCTTCCGCATCTCGCAACTGAGTGAGTAATGAGTTGCTGCACTGTAGTAGCTAAATATAGGATTTGTCTTCGCTTGGTTTGGCCTGCTTCAGACCGGTACCGGTCGGCCATGGCCTGTCTGCTGCAAACATTTTGTCGGTCCGGTACCTTCTGGGCTTTCCTGGGATATGATGCAAATTGGATTTGGGACTGTCGGACTGGACTGGACACTTCCGGAGTTTTCTTGTCGGGTACAAGTCACGACACTTCTGGACTTTCCTTGTTCCGGAATTTTCTTGTCGGGTACCAGTCAAGACACTTCTGGACTTTCCTTGTCGGTACCGGACCCTTGATGGAGCTGCATCCCATTGCATCCATGCAATCCATCCTCCTTGTTTCCCCCCCAACCAGTCCATGCAGAATTCGTGTAATTTTTGGATGATGTCTGATCTTTTTGTGAGAGCTTTCATCCCTTGTACGTCTTTTCCCACTAAGCTCTAATTGCTGTTTCAATCACGTCTTTAATCATTTCCGTTATTTCGCCACTTCCGACGTGGGCACTTTCAAGTACAAGAATGCATCTGCGACTCCATATAGCCCATAGCATCGCTTCCCTCTTGATCCTAAATAAATTAGCCGTGAAGGTCGAGGTTTGGGCAGTCCAATGACCAGTTAGCAGGGCCCTCCATTCCCACGGCCAATCTCTGTCTGTGCCAAGTTGGTTCCAAATCCGGACCCATCCTCGCCACGTAAGGATAGAGGCAGGGCACTGCAGGAAGATGTGCTCTATCGTCTCGTTATTCCTTCGAGAGGGGAAACCCTCCTTGCATGTGTGGCACCAGGGGAGAGCCAACCCTTTCTGCTCCAGGTGGGTATGGTCAATGAGCCATGCATTCGTCGGTAGGCAATGGTGAGAAATCTGCCATTGGAGTGAGAGGCAGTCTTGGCTGGTTTGTTCTTCACCTCTTTAAACCATTTTATAGGTCTCGGGGTTTCCACTAGGACGTTTAGATGTCGTGCCCTGCGGTCTACTATACAATCCCTTAGGTTTAGTCTAGTCCTAAGCATCCGGTAGGTCGCTTTAACGTCCAGAGTATGGAGGTACCGATATCTGGGTCTTCCATTCCTTGTTGGAATCTTCCATCTCCACTCAACCACATCCATGGGAAGATCCTGAATTGGCACCTTTGGCCTGAATGCCACCCAGGATTAATTTTCCTTTAGGACTCTTACTTTGTGCACTATCTTGACATCAATCCAGAAAACTTCATCTGGCACACCCCGGATCAAGTGGTTCAGCTGTGTTCGATAGAACAGGTTTACTAGCACCTCCCATGGTCTGACTGTCAGTACTTGCCCCACCCGGGTTGCATCCCCACTTAACACCACCAAGTCACCTTCCCCTACTGTTGGCCCCCGTCGAAGAGTCCGCACCCAGGCGAGTGGGAGAGCACAAAGGATCTGGTCTAGCCTTTCTCCTAGTCTTTGGCAGTGGGGGAACTTGCTTCTCTCTCAGCTGCTCTTCTAAGAACCAATCATTCTTTGATTGGTCCCATAAGTGGCCAACTCTTATAACCCCGTTTTTCACCCATCCATTCCACGGACGACATGAGCTGAGCAACACCCGCCCATATCGATCCGTTATCAAACGGTTCCCAAAAAGAGGTTGGTGAGCGACTTCTTCCCACCTTTAAGGGAATGGCCTATTCGGAAGTGGGAGCCTCCGCCAATCCTTGATTAGTTTGGCCCAAAAATCATCTTTTCGTAGGTCCCTGTGGGCTGCCGCACAATCTGAGTGTGGTTGGGACCGGGTGGGGGGGCTGGGGATCGTCCAGAAGACATCATCTAGCCAAGCAATAGGATGTGTTGTTGGTGCGGCCACTAGGGCCAACCTCGACAGTTGTTCCCAAGCTAGTGGCTCCCAGGTAAGGCCGGGGAGCATATAAGCCGCTTCAGTCATTGGAGAGAGAGAGCGGCCGTTTGGGTGGCATGGTCAAGTATGCCC